CTCATGGTGTATGGCGTATGCCAGTCTTCGTTATGACGTTTAAAGCGAGAATTTCATATTTTCTAAGAAAGTCAAAACATAATTATTTCTATGTCTTTTGCTCAATAGGTTATCAACTCACTATTATACGATCAGAGGTGTCATTCTCACACTTAAAACTCATTTACACAGGAAATAACAACACAATTACCTCCCTTGTTTTCCTATTGAAAACAATGGTCAGCCATTTCCTCAACGTTGAAATTTGAAGTTGAAAATGATATTTTTGCCAATTTCTCAGCTGGCAATAGTGAATTATAGGATTAATAGGATTATTCTTTAACAAGGTAGGACTGTTTATGGATACCATCTATTTTAAGGCTTTATTTTAATAAATTTTAAAAATATAACTTAAAAATTGGAAATTTCCGCTTTCACCCCATTTAATTCATTTATCCTGGCTAATATAAGTATGACACAACACTAACTACAAAATGCTTTGGGTGCTCATAGTGCCAAGACGATTAGTATTTTCAAAATAGACTTTACGTTCATTTATCGTGGCTAATATAAGTATGACAAAACACTAACTACAAAATGCTTTGGGTGCTCATAGTGCCAAGACGATTAGTATTTTCAAAATAGACTTTACGTTCGGACGTTTCGGTGAATTTGAACACAGTCCACACAAGTAATTGGAGTAACTAAGCGGTTTGTTTTGTATATTTGTGTTTTAAAACCACACTTGTCATCTCTGAAGGTGCCACCTCGGCGAAGTTTACCTCGTCATTTTACTTTGATCTTATCACGCAGCATGAGCAATTCATCCACGTAATATGCACCATTTATGGCGGAACCTTATTTACATGATCTATAACGATTTCACCCTTTGGAGTCACGTTCTTCACTGCATACTTTAACCTTTTTTCTCAGGGTCAAAGCGATGAACCCAGGTTTCATCCTGAGTAACAATATGACCAAAGAAAACACATGGTTCCCTCCTATAGTCCTCGAGAAGCTGTTGACTAACAATGATACTCTGGCGTTTTTGTTCTTCAGTCAACATACTGGGCACCCAACGGACAGATACGATGTCCATGTGCCAAATGCTCATGGATTATTCATCTCACTGGTGTTTACTTATGCCATGTAGGTAACAGTAGAAAACTGACGAACAGCATCAACTGATGGATAGTCAATTCACAAGGGCGACCAGACCCTAGATCGTCTTCAGTGCTGGTGCTGGCCCTTGTAAATTCAGCCCAATACGGTTTGACTGTACTATACGAAGGGGTATGCCTATTGTCGCGTAATTAATTTGCTTTGGTGAAAAACTTTTCAAATGAAGATACGTATCATGACATTTCATTCGACTTTCTCCATTGTGAGAGCAAATGACAGGGCCATGGTGTTTGACAGCTATATAGCAAATTATAGCACGCGGAATTCGTGTTTTGAATGTCAAGCAAGTGGGGAGATCCGTTCATGCCGAGGCCGGACGTATTTCAGAATGATCTGAGAATAATATATGTCTTGAAGCAAACATTTATAATCTAAAAGATCTCTTCCAGTGTATTCACTCTGTCGTCTATTGTCCAATAAATATTCAACCAATGATTTCTAATACTGTCCACAGATAATTGTGAAACAAAAGCCAAAGAATAATAATCCATTAGCCTGATTTAAACGCTTCTAATTCTGACACCATGTCGTTCAGCAAGAATGTAAAATATTTATCAAGAACATTTGATATGGTATGACTATAATGCATATAAGTATTAGAAAAATACCTAAGTAAAAAGGGGGCGAATGGTCTAATGCGTGCGCTTTAGATTATAAGGTATGCCATTGTACGTGAAATAAAATTAAACCATGTGTTAGTCCCGAAATGATCTATCATGTGTCGAGTGGGCGTTATAAACCATATCTCTCTCTTCTATCAAAATCATCGATAACGGTACAGTTCAAATAAGAAATAAAATTTGTATCAATACAGCAAAAAAAAAATGAATTCAGACAGTTAGCCAGCAATTCCCGTTACAAGGTAATATAGGAATTTCAAGTGTTATACTATGCACCATGACAGCCATTAAGGGATTACATATAGATTTTGTTTAGACGAGTGCATAAACACAAGGTAAGCTTGGCAGCAATTCTCACCATAAATTGTTGATCCAATGTGAGGCTGATGAATTGATATAATATCCAAGCTTTCTGCTGGGAATTAAAGAACCTGGAAGTCACGGAAGTTCCGTTTAATCAATAAATAACAAACTTGTGCCATTGACGGGCGGTTGTGTTATTTCAAGATGAATCATGCAATATCATTATATCATATTACTTAAAGGGATAGTTGCATATTTTCTAAGAAAATCAAAACATCAATAGCTCTCTATATATTGCATAATAGGTTACCAAATCACTATTATACAATCATAGGAATCATTCTAGAACTTAAAATAATAATAACACAGGAAATAATACAAACGTTATCACCCTTGTTTCCTATATACTATAATATAGAGAGCTCAACGATGATGTTTCCACTTGAAGATGATATATATGCCAAATAGTGAATTATATGAACATGTTGGGTTTAAGACTTTATTTTAACATATTTAAACATATGCAGCTATGACTTTAAAACAGCTAACTTGCTTCCATTTAGGCGAAAATGAAATAACGAATTTGGGTGCCCTGATATGTTTTTCGATTATTGATCTATACAATTAAATTTGTGTTTTGAAAGATTAAGCGGAAGTCGGCTTGTTTAGTTTAACTTTTGTCTCACTGTGTCGACCGTTTAACACAACCTCAGTTTTATTTGGTATATCTATAGACATAAAATTGGTTTTATCCCAACATTGATTTTATCTACAAGCAGAAATTCTCTACGAAGTTAAATTGTGATCCTACAAACACATCGAGATCAAATGAAATCGATCGGTTTATTTTTAATCACAACCGTAGCGACCTAGCCATTTTAATTATTTAAAATTCTCTTTAGCAGACTCTGCTCTATTACCCTCTTCATTTAATACTAGGAATATTTTAGATACCATCCGTTTGAAGCCTTTTACGTTCTATTTGTCATCAGCTTATAGCTGAGAGCTATCATACACGAGAAAAACAGATTGAGAGATATTGGCCAATTAGTAGATTGATTCAGCTGGCCTTGTTAACAAAAGATTTGCCTATTTTCTTCTAATTAGAGGAAATATTGGGTTAATCGATCGTAGTTCATTATATGACAACATATCATCATAGGATTTATGGTGCCTCTAAAAACAAGGTGGATAAATAAATCAACACAGTTATTAATAGATTAGATAAGTTTTTGGTTAATATATAGAATATTATTCCTTCGTTTAACTATCTATGTGTAGTATTCGTCAACTTGACCAAGACATTTGACTTAGTTTGGGTGGATGGCCTACATAAACTGGTACATGGACTAGGAGTAATAGGACGAATGTTTCACTGGATTTTCTAAAAGATACAAGTTAATGTAGATCTCTCAATAAGCAACAAATATGGACTCGAAAACGGCACACCCTATTGCTCTAAGCCCGGCATTTCAACATTATGAATAATGACTTTCAGTCTAATAACTACATTAAGAAATTGAATGGCATCTCTGTTTATGCAGACGACAGCTCAATCTGGCATACAGCGAATAACTGCGGTACGGCCAGAACGAGAATGCAAGAAGCTTTAGATAAATTGTCGAAGTGGTCTAATGATTCGGAATTTCGAATATATGAAAGCAAAACAATAGGTATGCTCTTCTGTGGGCATCATAAAGACGGAGGTCGATAACCCGTCACGCAATATTTGTGTGCTAATCACAAGACTGAGGACTAAAGATTTAATGACCGACCATAACTATAAACCAGAGAAGTGCGAATGCGGCAACATTTTAACCGTTAATCATGTCGTCACTGCGTGCAATAATTTGGAAGAGAAAAATCTTCCTGTAAGAAATTTAATTCAATATACTCTCCAAAATGTACTATACCCCCCCCCCCCATCTTTTAAGAATATGTCATATATGATTTATGAAGCGATCCCAAATTTACAGCAGAATTAGTTGCTGAAGATCGAGCACTGTATGACCAGTCATGGAAACATATCTAGTTACTCAGTAATGAACTGTTGTTGTAGGACAGTATGGCGGATCAGTCTACTGGTTGATTTAATATAGTAATATATTAAATATACATTATGGGAGATTAGATAAAGAGCTGGCAGTTCTCACTCGAATAGTTAACAACTAGATCATGTAAAGGCAATTTGCTGAAAATTTCAGTCAAATTGATCCACTCTGAACCGATACGATAAAAACATAGTCTCGATTATCCATTTTTTTTATTTAATCACGAATGAGCGTTGAGCAGCAGATCGGATTATAATCCAGTTAATATCACAGGCTAGCGATGACATCGAGAGTTGTTTATGGTCTGGATAACATTTCAGACCTAAAGAAAGACCTGCAATTGGCAGATTTAGCTCTTGCATAATGTATGTTTAAGTAAAAAATAAAGACAAAAGAAATAGGGACCTACACAACCATTTATTAATATTGACAGTTTATATAAATCTATATAAGTTGTGTTTAAAAGTTTGATGTCATGTATTATTCTTATAAATGTTTAAATTGTTCTTCTCAGTGTTGCTGCTGACACTTCTTTCCCTTTTCATGCAACTTTTATCGGGGAAAAGTCATCCACGTCAACAAAAAAAAAACCCAAAAATTTAATGGACTGCAGCCTATATTTTATTTTAAACGTTGAAGTGGTGAACTTGAAATTGGGTCATTCCATGTCAAGTGGGCCAGGGGTGGAAAATCGACCCCCTCGAAAAAATCTGGAAAAGATATATGTTATTGTACATGTAAAAACTAGAAACTGTGCAAAATTTGTGTAGCTTGAAAATTGACTGAGATACGGGCATTTGAGTTTCATGAGTTACCGATGAGTTTTCGAAACAAAATATGTATCAATAATTTTCTTTATTTTCAGATTATCTTGTTTTTACCTTTCTAGTGAAGATATACATCTGACATTTGGTTGTCGGAAAGAACTTTTTGTGTAGATTACGAATCAGCAACCAGATTACAGGTGAGTGGTAGGGTTTGCGTGCTACTTGGTCATAAAATCCGAAAACAATGTTTTAACTTGTTTTTATTATGACAATGGGAGAAAATTACCCGCCTTCTCTTTCCACATGAGAATTTTAACACAGTGTTTTAAAGAACAAAAACAACAACAACGTTTGCCCATATATGATTTTATGAGGGGTCTTGCGGGATACCGTAATAATAGAATGACGGTCATATAACAATCAAGACAGTCCGACTTTTCTGCCACCGTGGTTGACACGTTAAATATGTGCTAACCGGTGCCAATATGCGCTAACTGGTTAGGGTTAGCCGGAGGGGGAGGGTGCATATAGAATCCTCCACAGAAGCACGGGCCGCGAATCCAACATTTCCTTGCGCCCAACGAAAATCCAACTCATGAGCCTCGCAGTAGGCGGTCCTACCACTAGTCTGTCGCTCAACCCTAATAGGGTTAAGGTTACAAACCTCGAATGAAATAATGATTAGGATCCGAGACGCAATAATAAGTGCACGAGGCCATTTTCTAAAAAAAAAAAAAAAGTAATCAAATGGACGTCAGACACTTTAAACCATACCAAACAATATATACATCAATTGAAAAGATCGATTATGTTCTCATTGCGCGTTGTAATTCTCGGTGAATTATTCAATATTTCTTACTAATATAAAAAGTAATTAAGACCGTTTCTTTCGGAGATAATTGCCAAGCATTAGTCTATAATACAATAAGCAAACAGTACCCAGATTGATCATTAGTTGTATAAAAGAGTTTCCATGGGTTGCTAATTGGATGGTTTACTGTATATATTAATCTTAAATGCCACAGGTGAAGAAGAATAACACGGAATGTTTTCGATATCACCGCTAGGGGGATTCTATTCAGACGGGAAACCCTACTCAGTAGTTCATACACCCACAAGCACCGGTTAATAGCACGCTATCACCCATGGGTTATATTGCACAAGATATACGACCCGGTATCGATTCATGTTAGATAAAAACACATATGGTATTAGCGAATATGCAGATATTAAAGGAGCTAAGTCTCTAACTCAATATTTTCTAGAATATTCGAAATTAAAAACACGAATTAAAATTCAAAATTGACCAATTTCAATCAATATTGACGTTATCATCCTGCCGTGACTCTATGTGATCCTAATATCCAATATTTAAGACATAATTAACATTTTATAATCATTGCATTAGACGTGTAGCTATGATTTTGGTGTCATTTTGTAATGAACAATAAAAAAATATCCTACAAGACAATCTGGAAGTAACAAACGACAAAATAATAATTTAAAAAATTGAATATAAATCACTTTACATACATTCTTATTACATAATAAGTGCTTTGAGAACCATTTTTGTCTATTTCAAGGTTCCAAAAAATAGAGCCATAAGCCCTTTAAGTTGACCGCAAAGAGTGGTAGAGGCTGGACAGACCGGTAGATCTGTTTACATGCCGAATCAAATGATGATGTGGGCTATACATTAATAGATATTTAAAAATCCCCGCACAACAGCAGTACAAGAAAACAGACACAGGTTTATTCATCTTCATAAGGTTTCGGGTTATAAGATAAACTTCAAACACAACTTCTTACCAGCGTGTGTATAGTTCTTGTTAAAGAAGACATAGCAATTCATTTTATGAAATGTACCCCCATTTTTGTGTTAAATATCCTATTATTATGTTGTTGTTTTTTTGTAAAATATGTATTTCAGCTTTTGTATATTGGAATTTTTGTTTCTTGTTTATCTGCCTTAAGTTTTAAAGGCTCAATACCACTCTTGTTGTAACTGAATAATATGTCCCAATCTTTATTCTGGTCAACAAATTGTATATTTTACAAAATTCCAATTAATTGATGATACAAATTTCATCTTAACACACCTAATTTAAAAAATTGGAAAAATTCAACTAAATGATTTGAAAAGCCTGATGTAAAGCTTTTCAAATGTGACTTGGATTTAAAAATATTTTTGAACCCTTTGGACAAGTAAAATAGGATTTAATGGATAATTTACACAACAGGTAGGACACTAACACATCTAGTACTTAGAATAAGACTATTTTTTATTTTCTGGAGCTGTCAAGCCAGCAAGAGTGTTATTGTCCCTTTAATGTTTGTATAATAGATCGACGCCAATTTCAAATGAATTGCGTTGTTAATATGTAAAGGTTTACGGTGAAAAGTATAACCAAAGAAACATATTATCAGTTAAAGGAGCTAAATCTCTCCGTTTGTTCCATAATATTCGAAATTAAAAACACAAATTAGAATTCAATATTGGTAAATTTCAATCAAGATTGATGTTGTTATCTTGCCGTGAGTCCTAATATCAAATGTTTAAGGCACAATTAACATTTTATAATCAGTACATAGTTATGGTTTCGGGTTCCATTTTGTAATGAACATATAAAAACATATCCTACAAGACATCCTGCATGCAATTTGATTAACAAACGAGAATATAATAATAAAAAACCCTGTGTAGAATGGACTAAGCAGGCGTCAACAACGGCCGTTCAGGTTGAACTGTTCACGTATTTCACAGAAACTAATTAATTAGAAATTACAATATCTTTTTCAAACATTGAATATAAATCACTTTACATAGATTCACATTACATTTATATGTGCTTTTAGAAACATTTTTGTCTATTTCAAGGTTCAAAAAGTAGTAGACTTAATTAATTCTGTGTGTAAGACTCTTATCTGAAGTCCTGCGATACCTTTTGAAGAAATGCAGACTTTCAATTACAATGTTGGTAACAAGATCCTAAATGTGTCTGGATAACGTATAAAGATGATACTTCGATGGGTTCGGCACGATTATCAAGGTACTAGTACACAGGAAATCTTTTAAACGAGTTACATAACCTATTAAGCAAATCTAGCGATCATTTCCGAGTGGCTCATATATTGGCGTTATATTCACATGAATCATCGAGCTTGTTATCAGTGGATACCTTGTTAACCCCATGCCCCGTTCATTTACATAATGAACTCCCGAAACAAAGAAAGTGGTATCAGGTGCTTTAGCTTAAAACATAACAGAGAGAGAGAGAGAGAGGGGGGAGAGAGAGAGCAAACTGGGTGCCCGGAGAAATCATATGGGGTTGGACATGCGATCTGACTTGACCCAGCTGGACTTAATAACAGATTGTATGATCTAAACTGTTGCCCCCCCCCACTCCACGACCACCACCGCGTAACAATAATATAAGAAATGATTTCATTATTCAAAAACCGTTTCACTGTCGTCAGATCGATATCTAAACAGAATTGCAACACTATACAACCCGGCAGTAATAGGAACTCTGTTTTATAAATATGATTAAAGATTACAGGGATAACCCTTCACAATTTCTCATTCTAACTTCAATCTACATCCGTACAAAACGTCTGTCTGGAATTTGTCAGAGGTGAGACTTACATATAGAAGACCCTTGATATCTTGCTAGTTCTGATCCTCACAATGGCAAAACAACCCCCACCCAAAAAACAATAATCAACAAAACCAATCAAAATAAAAAAATCCTAAAAAATTATACAATCACTCCCCCTCCCCCATTACCCCCCCCCCCCCCAAAAAAAAAAAAAAAAAATCCCACTTCCAATAAATTCCAAACGACTTAACATAAAACAACATTAATTAAGGAAAGTGCAACCATGGGATAGAATACACAACTGAATTGTGGTAGTAAACGTTAACCAACGAGGATTTACCTCTACAACTACAATGTTATTGTTGTTGTATGTAACTTACAGACATACAATCGTAATGTCATGGTTGCTGTATGTAACTTACAGTTAAAAACTACAATCATAATGATATTACCGATGCATGTAACTTACAGTTATACTACAAGCATAATATCATTTTTGCTATATGTAACTTACAGTCATACCAAAGTATAATGTTATTGTTGATGTATGTATCTCACAGCAATACTACAATCATAATACCAGAACATGAGTAACTGCTATACTATCATTTGGCACCAGAGTATTACTGATGACTAACAGAAAGATGAATGAACAGATCCAAACGAATGAATAAATCTATTGATTGGGATACGGATAGCTTTGGACTAGTAGATCTTACATTGGTACATCAGCTGATGACTCCTTGGCCAGAATGTCCGAGGATAAATTAATTGGCTGGCTAGCTGGCTAGCTGGCTAGCAATCTAGGCGATTGGAATCTTAGAATGTCTTCATATGACATTCGATTAGTTTTGTATAGGCACTAGTACGATGAAAGACGACAAAATAACATTGTTTTAATAAACCAGAAGTGTTTTATTATTATTTTGTACCAATATCAGATACAGATCAGATAACGGGTGTTTTTAATTTTACTATGATTGTCATTGTAAACTTTGTGACGATATGAGTGTCAAGTCAGCTGATCAATCTGAGGTTGCTTTAAATATATATATGACATTTTGACGTTTTAAATATATTTTTTGAAAGTACCTGCCAATAAAGTATGGTTTTACGATTCAGGGTCGAAATCTCTAAATCGGAACGCAGAGTGAGATGTGGAGACAAGTGGAAATATGCTCTTCGACTATAAATATTTAAAGTGCTCAATATCATAGTCAATTTGAATCAACACTACACTATATGTATGATATTAGTAGACTTACACTCACCATTTGGCTCGCTCATGAGTTCGACTAAATCCCTCGTAACTACATATAGTACGTCATTTGAATCATTACTTCTTGTTTAAACAGTACTATTCGGGGATCACAGACGTTGTAAATCCCGCAATATGTTACTAAACGCGTGAGAACGATCTGTCTACTCACTGGCTTAGTTTATCAATAAACCCGCGGGAGAAAGTACCACATTTATATTTCTGCTTCCAATGTTGCTAAGCAACGCGGCAAAATTATCACTTTTCAGAATTTTTCTTTTTTCTTAGCACGCGGTACTAGACTTAACTACAATCTGAGATAAATACTACGGCGACTACATGATGCGGTAGTAAGTCGGTGTTTGTATCGTTTATCAACTAGTTTATAAACAGGCCAAGATGATTAGACAAGCAGGAGATAGTGGATATAGTCAGATCTAGAAAATATCGAGCAGGGAAATCAATAGTTTTTATGGCCTTGCTCTTTTCAATTTATCGGAATTTCTGGTTTCATTATAAAAGAACACTCTCTCAGTATAATATGTGTCAACTTTCGGATCACTATTTTTATACGTTCATATTTAATTTGGACGAAGTATATTAGTCGCCTGTTCAGTGTCTGACGGCTGTTATTGATTGGTTCATGAGCAGTAGCGTCATGAGGCGCAAGGTAGTGCTAGCTGTTGGGTGGTTATCTGTGATTTTTTTAAAAAAAAAAAAATAAGTGTGGCGCATGTTTTGTAATATTATTATTTAAAGATATTTAATCCCAGACTAATCTACTGGGGATGAAATGTATGTGTCCCTAAACGGATCACTAAATTCTGTAATATAAAGTCTACTCCAAACCCAATTGATCGTCAGCAAGTTATCCAGAGAAGCTTATAGCGATTCTGTAAGATGATATTTTATGTTTGTGTTAGACTAGTAATGGCTTTACAGATTTCTACAGCTTTTAGCAAATTAATGTATATATCGCTGCAAAAAATATCTTTAGCAACTTTCTACTGTCTAATGATATAATGGGGGTTAATAATTAATAACCGTATCGAAATTCAATATTTTGCGGATCGATATTTAAAAAAAATACATTATGCAAGAGTTAAATCTGCCTATTGCATGTCTTTCTTTACGCCTAAAAAAAGTTATATAAACTATTAATTAAACATTTATTAACATGGCAAGACCACAATCAACTCTCGATGCCATCGGATTTCTCCGATATTAAGTAGATTAGAACGGTTCAGCCATATTTTGATTTAATTTAAAAATGGACAAGCGAGGCGTAGCTTCGAACAACCAGTACGGTGGTTGCAATCAACGCACACATCTTGTCAAACATTTAAAGGCTAATATCTTCGCTCGCAATTGAGTAATTTGAATGAAATTTTCAATATATTAATTTTGCATTATCTATTTTCGAACTATTATAGCAAGAATGGCTAGCTCTTTATCTCTATATTTTACATAATGTATTTAAACAAGTTTCGCAGTCATCTGTCAAATTACAATTTGACTGTTATGGCTTGTGGATGCGTGAGATTCCTCGTATGAAATTAAATTTTCTGCACCGACTGGACTAATGAAGACGGACATTGTTACGCCATACAGTGTGCTATGAGGGAAATTTTGCCCGGAGAGTGGTGCTACGGCCCACTTTTATCTAATTCCAACTGTCAATGGTTCTTTTATGTGACCGCCAACGTGTACACGGGACCTTTGTTTTGGTGGGATTTCAAAATGTTAGGATCGTAAATTTCTAAAGCGTTTGGCTTTAGAGTTATTTTTATATTTATATTTTCACTTTGAAATAATATTTACGATTTACCAGACAAATATCCTTTATTATTGCGAGACAAGGCTATCTACGATTTTACGATTTGAGTCTTAAAGTCAGTGAGTGTGATCCAGCGTGCACAATAGACCATTTAAAACCTTGAATAACGATAGCGGCGGTCTTGTTACATGGGGAAACAGCACAGATCAATGGACTATTTTTCAATTTGTCATATCTTTATAAATACTGAGCGAAATATAACCATTTAAAGTCGTCATATCTTTATAAATAATGAGCGAAATGTAACTATTTTTGGATTCGTATTCCTATTAGAGATTAAACCTGCCCACTATTGTTGTTTGCAAAGGATTCGGCGCTAAAATCACGTTCAAAGTGTTTAAATGTGCACTAACTGGTGCAAATAGGAGCTAAATAGTTAGGGTTAAGGTTAAAACATATCTATTAGCGAAACGTTGCACAATCGCGACCAGTTACCTCATAATTAGGGTAGGGTGACCCACCATAAATAAATATCTCCATATATCTCGACAATTACGCCACAATATTTATATATATGCCAAGCCTCAAATCAGTTTCACACAATTATAGTCACTAAATAACCGATCATGTTGTACTTAATAAGCTATGACCATTAATCATGTATAAATAATGGACTGAAAACTGGTTCCAAGAGTCGTCCATAACATCCAGACACTTTTGAGTAAAAGATAGGTTACGTGCCCTTGTTTTGAAATTAGTCTCGCTTAACCAGTCTATCGACCATTCTACGTCTGATTGACAGGTCGGGATAATCAAGACTACTTTTTTACGAAACGTAACAGAAAGCTAGAACAAGAAATTGAATTTAGAAATAAGCACGTTAGGTAGCTCAACAATCGTTTTAAGAAGCTTGTAAAAGTAAAATGAAACTACTGCTAGTATCATGTTCCTGCCTAACCCGAGTGATTCAGAGATATTATTTGTACTAAACCAAAAGATGCCGCTCTTAACGGTACAGTTAATGATAAAGCGATTTAAAAAATGAAACGAACGTAATTTCTAAATCTGCTGTAATAACCAAGAAACTTAATTTAACTGCTATTCAAAATCGTCAACAATAAATTTTTTACGGCTGTAATAATTGATAGATTTGTAGAGAATTGCACGTGCCATGGCTATTTATAGTATCATACTGTCAGAAAGTTGGTCTCGGCACGGCGAATGTGCACGCTTCAGTGGTAGTTTCGAACTATCAGCGGTGGACTGTATTTCTGTGAGTACATGGGTCACCCTAATTAGGGACCTTTCGCATCGATACGAAAACGAAAACGTCATCGATACGTGTGTACTTGTGACATCAATCCGTAATGAGTGTTCGGCCAGTGAAAAACGTTACGCTAGGTATACGTAGGTATATATAATGCAAACGAATGTGTTTCTTGTCTCATATATTGAATTTTCCACCAGTTTTCGAGGCTTTGTGTATATTGTTGATTTTGGGGGGTTGAATGGTTGAATGGTTAGCGTGCGCGCGCTGTATCATAAAGTCTGTCATTGAATCGACTGGCGTGGTTTCGAATCCCCGGTTGTACGTGACAAGGAGTAGGGTCGCCTGTCCAACCTCGTGGGTTTTCTCCGGGTCCTCCGGTTTCCTCCCACTGTTAAAGACCCCTACGCGCAAGCGAATTATTGAAATAAAATTAAACCATATGTTAGTCCCGAAATGACCTAGTTTGTGTCGAGTGGACGTTAAATCCCATTTGTCTCTTTCATATTGTTGATTTTGTAGAGTTCGCAGAATGTGCTCAAAAGCATAGGCGTAGCCCCCCAAAAATTTATTTTCGGGCAATGAAAAATTCGACGACCTTTTTTTTCTATTAATGTTTAGAGAAAAAATATAACTAACTTATTTCTATGAGATCCACACTGCCCGAAAAGTATTTTCTCGTCTTTTTCTTGTCCACTGCATATGCCCGAAAATATGCCCGAAGCTCTCTTATGATAGGTATGCCCGAAAAAACGGTATTGCCCGAAAATAGGTATTGCCCGAAAAACGGGCATCGGGCCGGAAAGCGGCAGAGGAAACTAGCAGTAAAACGCGTTTGCGACCGTCAAATATTCCAAAATTTTCTTGGCGGAATAACAGGAAAACGCGTTTGGGGCAGTTACATTTTCAAAATTTTCTCCCAACGGTCCCGTCTTCGTTGACTGTAAACGATTGATTGGAATTCGAGTCAGCCACCTTAATAAGGCTATAATATATATTCGACCACTTTGAAGTTGCTTTGTTCACCGGCTGAAATAGCAGGAAAACGCGTTTGCGACAGTTAAATTTTCAAAATTTTCTCCAAACGGTCCCGTCTTCGAGGACTGTAAACGATTGATTGGAATTCCGAGTCAGCCACCTTAATTAGGCTATATTAGACCGCTTGAAGTTGCTTTGTTCACTGGCTGAAATATCGGGAAAACGCGTTTGCGGCAGTTAAATTTTCAAAATTTACTCCTAACGGTCCCGTCTTCGAGGACTGTGAACGATTGATTGGAATTCCGAGTCAGCCACCTTAATTAGGCTATATTAGACCACTTTGAAGTTGCTTTGTTCAACGGCTGCAATAGCAGGAAAACGTGTTTGCAGCCGTCAAATATTCCAAAATTGTCTTTGGGGGGGGGGGGGGTATACAAGGTCGCTGCTGTCTGTAAACCCGAAATTTTTTCGGGCATTTCGGGTTCTGCCCCCCTAACTGTCATCGAGCCCCTACGCCTATGCTCAATAGCAATATTCTGCTTGATTTGTTGTACATCTGCCAAAAAATCGATTGAAAACTTTGCCTTGACCGAGAAGTTCATGAAGTGGAAATTAACGCCATCTAGCTAAAGTTATATATAAAATTGAAAATAATTAATCAAGATTAAAATCTGTTTGACATATTGATAGACTTATGGACTTGTTTGAAAATGTTATTGTTAACGTCTAGACTGTAGGATGTTGGGCCGAACAGGGGACAGTTTATGTTTTTATACGCCCACATTTTCATGTGGACGTCCGCCCGTCCATAATTGTTTGTGGACACTCTACAGGTCAAAATTCTTATCCGATTTCAACGAAACTTGAATTATAAATTATGGTCCCTGATTGTACGAAAAATCACGTTATTAGCTTGTGGACCCTATATAGAGGTCATAATTTTTATCCGATTTTAAAAAAAACCGTTCAAATATATCACCGTTACACCGTAATTTTAGCGGAGTTCGAATTTCGTGAAAATCGGACTAAAACTGCTGGACAAAATGGCTGCCCCTCGTACGAAAACAGTGTATAACATCTGTATCTGGTATATCAAAATTGTGGACCCTCTAGAGGTCACAATTTTGATCCGATTTTGATGAAACTTGAAATACCTGTTTATACCCGAAAGATATTGGTTCCATTCGAAATTCGGGCGTATCGGATCATAACTTCTTGAATTATGGCCCCTGATTGTACGAAAAATCACGTCGTTTTTATCTTGTGATCC